CTATTCTATTCTATTCTATTCTATTCTATTCTATTCTATTCTATTCTATTCTATTCTATTCTATTCTATTCTATTCTATTCCATTCCATTCCATTCCATTCCATTCCATTCCATTCCATTCCATTCCATTCCATTCCATTCCTTTTTTTTTTTTCAGTTTGTGAATGATTGTCTGGCATCCCCTTTCTATTTATATGATATGATATCATATTGTAATTCTTCTTTCTCTTCTTCTTCTCCTCAAATTGGCTTTTTGAACCCTTTTGATGTACTTTCCTTCCCTTTATGGTCCCTCCACAACCTATTTGGAGGCTCCCATGACTGCCGGCAGCGGGTGCAGGCAGGGTCCTGCCCTCGGCCACTGCCCCGCTCTCACCCAGGGACTTGCTGGTGTTTCCCATCCGGGGGGGTGGGGTGTGTGGGGGGTCCCCCTTACAGACAGGGTTGGGGACACTGCAGAGCCAGGGTGGCTGCATCTTTGGGTCCCTTCCTGGCAGAACAGCACAAAACCGACCAATAAAGCTAAAATTCCAGTAATTTCTATAAACTCCCTCTAATTTGCTTCTTCCCACCCTCAAAGAGAAGTTTTGTAGGTAAGCAAATGGGTTGCTCATGAGGGAGGAAGAAGGATGTGTGTGATTATCCCAACACGGGAGCAAGCCTGGAAATGAAAACATCTGATTACAAAAAGGCAGAAATCAGACAATTTCAAACTTTTTTAGCCATATCCTGACTCAAGAGTGGGAAGATCACTGCAAACACAGCTGGTTTAATTTGATGGATAAAGTCATTTGGCTTGAGTTCTCTGTGGAGTTAATATGGACAAGGACAGGCACTTCACCTGGGAATAAAGTGAAATATCCAAAGCCAAGGAGGTCACAGGTGAGAGGAAGCTTTGCTCTGGGGGTGTGGGACAGGCAGCATTGTCCTGGCTCCATCTCTCCCAAATAGCTGCTGAGCTTATTGGCCAGGCTTGGCCATTCTTGACTGCCTCCAGGTACCTTTTTTATAGATTTAATTTATATATAAAAATGATATATAATTATACATATTTTTATAGATATATAGACACATATAATATGTATATAAAATGTTTTATATACATATACCAAGGTTCTGTAAAGCTTCTCAAGCACAGCAGGTGACAGAGGGAAAGGCTCTTCTCCAAGGGAAGGGCTTCAGCATCAGGAGGTTGGTGTGTGCTGCCTGCACCCCCTTTCTCTGCCACTCCCTGAGGCTGGGCTGAACCCCAAAATAGCTGAGTGTGCTAGAGAGGAGTCAGGATTCATCCCCTGTGTGTGAGGTTAGTGCTTCTACAGGGGCTCTGGCCGCTGGGAAATGGAGATCCAGGGGTGCACACAGAGATGGGGGGGGACTCTTTTGGCTTCTACCCAGCAACCTGGGCATGACATGGGGCCATCACTGTGGCCTCTGGGCAGGGGACAGCGGAGGGGTGTCTGGGTGCCCTCCCTTGTACCCTGCCACTGCTCCACAAACCACATCCTTGGCATTGTAACCCCCTGGAGCAGCGCTGGGAGAGGGGAGCTGGGGGAGAGAAGGGGGAGGCACACTGTGGCATGTGGCAGCTTGATTTTTATTTGATTTTGGTCCCTTTCAGGCCAAATCCTGTTGCTAGGGCAGGGACCGCAGGGTTCCACCTTGGCTTTCCCTGATCCTGCTACAGATTTCCATCCTGGCTTCCTCCCCGCAACTTGTCCCCTTCTGCACAACCCTTGGGGTCCGTGGGGTGAGGCAGGGCTCTGGGCAGCATCAGCACCCCCTCGGTGCCAGGGGGGCCGTGGGGTGGAGGGCAGCTGGGGGAACCAGCCCCTCCGGCCCCCAGCGATGTGAATCCAGCCCCATTCCTTCCACAGCGGGGGCTGCACTGCAGTTCCTTGTTGCACCCCAATGCGCTTCCTTAGGCCTTTGGGGGTGCACGTCTCCTGCACCTCCTCAGCTGCTCCTGCCCCGCAGGCACGCGCAGTGCAGCATGACTCCCCATTGCGCCTGCGCCCCACCTGCACCAGGGACCCCCATTGCAGCAGGGTGCCCCCATCACATCAGAGTCCCCCTGACGTAACGGGCCCCCACTGCAGCAGGATCCTCACTGCCTG